AAAATGAGTTGGATTAGGTTTTGGATTACTATTTTTGATTTAATATATATTGTATAAAATAAAGGAAGAAAAGTTAGAATTGTTCACTGAATTAGATCCTATGAGAATGAGCAGTACATTTTGGCTACCATCCAAAATCTGTTTTAACCATAAAAGCACTTACTTGTAACCATCTCTAAAACTCACATTAGGCTTGTTTTATGAAGGCCTAGGCTAGTAATAAATCTTGTGCATGCTGTTGAAGTAGCCAGAGGAAAAACTAAAATGTCCTTTCAAGAGAACTACTTAGCTTAACAACTTGTTTCTCAAGTAAACTCAGCAGGAGCACTTTTTCTGATTTAGCCAAGAAGCTGTATAGCACTTGAAATTGCATAAAAGAGATGTATTCCATGTTACATCAATATAGGAACATAATGCAATATTACTGACTGCTAAAAATGACTGATTATAAATATAATTTTCTTTTCTTTAAGTCCTCTTGGACACAAAATTTAATGCATTTTTTTAATGAGTTGGAAATTTCACATTGTGCTTTTTCACATTGTGCTTTCACATTGTGATTGCACATTACCAAAAACAGTCAAAAAATGGGAATAAATTGGAGCTTAGAATTATTAAAGTTGCACCAACAACATGAGGTGCTTCAAGAACCTGTGTTAGTCTTCCTATCTGATCTGATCTGATCTGATCTGATAGAACAAAATGTCATTTTCAAGCTGTTATCAAAGATATTTCTGTTTAAATTGACCAAACCACAACTTAAACTATACCTAGAAACTGTAGGTAGGCAGTAGAAAATGGATTATAGCTGTGATGTCAGTACCATACAAATTAATCTTTATTGAGCCATGAACACAGATTAGCTAAAATCCCCACTTCTCTTATATCACAGAACCATGTATAAGTTGAAGCTTAGGTCTGCAGGAGCCTTCCTGCAACTGCAACATGAAATTGAGCACAATGCAAAGTCCTGAATGAAGATCTGAAGTGTAATCTTGGATATCCATTACATCTGCATGCCATGGCACAAAAGCCACAGGAAACCTCTGCTCTTGTGGAGGGCAGCTGGAGAACAGGGCAGGATCCTTCAGAGCCCCTAAAGTAAGAGGTGATCCCTATGTTGAAGCAACTAACCCACATGTGTAGCAACCCTGGTTTAAAACTTGTCAATTGCTAAAATAAAACAAGCTAGATATTGTACTCCATACCTCCTTCTGGAAGCTGTTTTCTAACTTCACACTTCTCTTGTGAGAAGCCTACAGACTTCAAGTCTGAAATCCTGTCATCTTTAATATATTCTAGTATTTACTTCCAAATGTATTCATAGAATGCAATTATATAGCAGAATTAATTCTGCTTGAATAAAAAGCTAAAACTCCTTTGATCTTCTCTAATAGAATACTCTATTTCACTGGTCTTCTTGTAAAACCTTTCATAGAGATTCATTTCATTTGATCATGGGTGCTCAGAACTTAATGTAGGATTTGAGTTTCATCACTGTATTGTGTAAAGACAAAAGCAGTATTTCCTTTACAACATGGAAATATATCCAATGATAAACACATAAGTATTTTTTCATGTTTATGTTAGTACTTCATGATTACCTTTTCTTAACGCACATAAGTCTTGCTTTCTCCATTTTTAACTAGTGAAGTTTTTCTCCCTTTCATCATAAGTCCATAGGTTTGCAATAGAATAAGGTGCTGAAGACCCTGACAATTACTAGAAATAGCAGAAAGCAAAAGTCTAGGAAAGGAACACCTACAATCTTAAACAGCCTGTCTAAAGAAAGAAAGAAATGAGAGGGATTTATCTGTCTGCAGCATAGAACAAAATTTACTGAAAGCTATTAATGAAAATTTTAGAGTATGATAGTAAGCTAGCAGCCATTTGAATGAGTTATAGCCATGTGAACAAAGGAGCAACTTAAGGATTTATCACATTTACTTCATCTCATTAAATCAAATATTCTTTTACATGACTGAAAGTCTTTTCATTTCATTAGAACTGACCACTAAATCCTATTTTGCAAGTGTATTGCACTCCCATGGGACTTTGCTGCCTTTCCTCTACCTCACTTCCTAATGGCAATTCCACTTATCTTCTTTGAAGCTGTGGTAGGATCAAAATCTCAAAGGACCTGAAAAGTGCTTAATGTGTCACAAAAGGTCATTGCAATGTCAGAAAAGACCCTTTTAGGATCTTAGAGTTGTGAAAGTTACCACGGAACCTGTCCAAGTGCTTAAAGACCTGATTAGGATTGGATTTGCAGAAGACCTCAGTAGACAGTAACCCAGTGAGAACAAATAAGGAGTGATATAAGCCTGCCCTTCTGTACATATGTATTGGCTTTCCCAAAGCAGTGTTGGAAGCACAAGTCCCTTCTCTTTGTTGTGATCCTATTGTGATCCTATCTTGCAGCTATATTCCATGCAGCCTACTACATTGCTTTGCCTCCATGGGAAAACATGCAAAATATATCCCAGAACAGGATTGAAGGATAGCTCACTGATTGATAATATGTGTGCTTTAAAGAATTAAAATCAAGGATATGGTGACAGTAGTTGTAAAGTTCATTGTCCTAAGCACAATGCAGAAATGTAGTGGTGTAATGCCAGAGATGGACTTAATGACTTGTAGTAGGAAATGTAAAACATAAAGAAAAAATATGTATACTAACTTTTCTTATATTTCATATACGATCTATGTAGTTCTAATCTGCCATCTAATTTAGTTCCTGCTTCTGATTTTTCTGTACAGCTGAGCAGATACACATTAAAAAGGAATAATCTTCAATTTATTACCCATTAGATTTATTTGTTAATTACCATCATAAAAGCACTCGGTTGTCTAGGCTTTTATTTTTCTGTTAGTGAGTAAATTCACCTACAACTAATTGATAATAATGCACAAAACTGGTTGAGATCCTTTGAATCATACACAGAACAGTGGTCATGCTGAAGACATGAAAACTGTTGCTATAGCATTTTTCAGCAGTGCTGCTGTTTAATATGTAGTCCCATAGATCAAAAACATTTGTATGTAGCAGATTTAGCATATTGAAGTGATAGGATGCTGCTCAGTGCTGTTCATTACAGAGGGCACTGGTTGTATATCCTCACCCCCAACAAAATTGTGTGGAATATAAGGGACGTGTTCAGGCCCATTGGGGGTTCCTCACAGTTCTGATCTCTAATCACACACACCTTAGCCACATACTTAGCACCCTACTGTGAAAATTATCAGTTTACCCAATTGAACCTAGGTTGTAATCAAAACCAATTTTTTTTCCAGCCACATAAATAGAAGAACTCAATTTGAAAACCCTGTCCTAGAAGCAAAAAGGAAGCTACAGCAGCATAACATGCCCAACGCAGAACTTGGAACAAAGCCTATGCAGGCCCAAGGTTTCCGAGGTACAGTACCATGTCAGCTGTCTTGGTTAAGATGTTGCTTTCCTGTTTATGTGACAATGATTTTGTCATAGTCTGGTTAAAAGAATAATGTTGCCAATGCTCAAAAGGTTATCACCTGTATCTTAGCAATTTTCTCCCTTAAATATCCAGGTTCCAATAGTTGCAGGACTCAAGAGCCAACTAAAACTTTCAGAGGCGCAGAGGAAAAACAGAACAGTTTAATCTAGTGTTTCCTAAAGGCTGAGAAGCTGAAAGCACAATAAGACTCCCAACGTAATTTTCTAAATAAAATCATAAATTCTGTTCCTGGGAATGTACGACTCTCTCTTGAGCACCCGAGACTGGCAACACTGAAATACTTAATTGTACTTTCTCTAAATTACTCTTAATTGATGTTTGGTATGTTTCTAAGCTAGCTCATCTAGCAAGCATCAATTAAGTTAAAAGCCTCAAGCACAGTGTTATAGGAGTTTACAGGAATGCAGCCACTTGGTAACATAAAAATTAATGTGCTCAAAAGGAGCTGTATAAGCAGCAAACAATACTGGTATCGACAAATGAAATTTAACGTAAGGTTATAGTCAGAGAATGAGGCTTGTTCTCCTTTGCAACAGTAGAAAGCTCCTCATCAACCTTACCTAGACCCAAACTTGCCCGCCTGCGCCCCGCTCCCAGGAGGTCCCGCAGCGTGAGCGACCTGTGGCAGTGGCGGCGCGACCCCGCCGGGGCCGGCGCGCTCTACGGTACGTCCCCGCTGCCCGCTGCCCTGGGGCCAGCTGGGGTCACAAACCTGCACCTCCCCAACCTCCCCCACTGCATGGGAGAGCAGCACGGGGACCCCAGCACCCACAGCGCACCCCCAGGCACTGGAGAGGGGACGCCAAGGTTGCACAGCTGTCGTGTGTGTCACTTGTTGGATGCCTGAACCCCGTGTGTTTGGAGAGAAAAGCTCATCTAGTGTTTACCTCCTCTCGGTAACAAATGGAATGAGACATTCACAGGGGATATATTCCTCACTGTGGTTGGGAGGGAAATTATGAGAAATATATTACTTTGTAGACAAAGCTGAATTTATAGGTTTGGAAAGAGGTTTTTAAATTACCTCACAGATCACTTTTATTGATGTAATTATTTTAGCTACGCAATATCCACTTCTAAATGGATTTCTAATATCACAGGATATTTATATCTTTTCATTTATGGCTGATCTGCCATAGATAAGAAATACGTTTTAAGCTTTCTATTAGTACAAGAACCCACAAATATTTTTCCTGGAATGTCTGCACCCTTTATTTGCTTGCCTTTGATACACTGCCACTCGGTGTCAACCAATACTGTTATGTGCTGTCCCTGCTATGGTGTGACTAGATCAGAACTTTTGTCTTTCTTGTTTATGTTGACTGATGTAGAAAAACCACTCTTCACCCGTGATGCATCACAGCTGAAGGGGACTTTCCTCAGTACAACTCTTAAGAAAAGCAACATGGGTTTTGGATTTACCATCATTGGTGGGGATGAGCCGGATGAGTTTCTCCAGGTGAAGAGTGTAATTCCTGATGGGCCTGCTGCACAAGATGGGAAAATGGAAACAGGTAATTATGAAAGTTCCTCTGATCTTTTATATGAGAAACAGAATGAGAAATAGATTCCTGAGTCTCACTCTCTCCATGAATGCATACATTTTCCATATGACTTTCTGTGTTAATATGTAGAAAAGGTAAGTTTCTTGGTAAAAAATTCTTGCTTATAAGTGCCAGGTAGCTTATTTTTCCTGTTTCACAATATTTTAAGGGAGAAAAGATCTCTGCATTTGTCTACATAAAAATGGGTTGTGGTTTATAGACTGTTTACTTAAGAGAAGTCTGTGTGGAAAGAAAAGAGATAGAGAACACAGACTACTAAGTGCAAATTTATTTCTTTAGAAAGGATGGTTTTGCAAAATAATCAGTTGAGTCCCATCCAATACTGTTCTCATTAGAACCATCATAACAAGAGTTTTCAGTGTGGCATATGGACACACAGGCATTTGTGTCCTATTAAAAAAAGAATCTGTGAAAACTCATGAAATAAAAGAAACTGCTTCTGATGAGAGTGAAAGCTGCTCTGGAGATCTGGACCACCACTGCAAACACTTTCATCTTCACAGATTGATAAGTATTGCAAACTACTGTCTGAAAGGTCACATCAGGTCTATGTATGGACAAAACTCTTTTTGGAGGGAGATGAATTCTGTTTCCAAGCAGTTATCATCTTCTTTAGGAAAAAACAGTCAGAGAATAATTGAATTATTTCAGTTGGCAGTGTTCTTCAGTCACTAACCCTGTACTTAAAATAAGACTAAGTTTGTCCTTGGATCAGGTTTCTCAGGGTCTTGAGAAAATTTTGTTAAGACAGATTCCACAGCCTTTGTGGACTCCTGTCCCCGTGTTCCTCCACTCTCATGGTGAAGACTTTGGCCCAGAATTTTTGGATGCCTCATCCCTGAAAATGTTGAAGGCCAGGTTGGACAGGGCCCTGAGCAACCTGGTCTAGTGGGTGGCAAGGGGAGTAGTTGATCTTAAAACTCCCTTTTAACACACACCATTCTCTTGTTCTATGATTTTTGCTCTTTAGGTCCATTGGGGTTTCCACAGCTACAGCTGGTTACTAGGGACTGAAGTTGTGTGCTCCTGTGTTTTTTGCAGCCTGTCACTCTGTACCATCTCTCCCCAGCATAATTTATCCGTTTTCATAATTTATCCTTCCATTTCTCACCAAGACATTGAAATAAAGAAATGCTAGTTTGGGATTGTTGTTGCCTCTGTAGAAAACCCATTTCATGGTGGCCAGAGTCACTATGAAGATAATTTTCTAAATTTTGGTAACAGATCATTGTGGATGGGTCACAGCAGCAGAGAAAGCTCCTTTTAGTATGTTACAGTCCAGGGAGCAGACACAGAAATAAATGCAGGCACAAATGATGCAAGTGGAATAGTCTGAAGTGATTTTTCTGGAAATTTCATTTAATCTTTCTTTTATTATAGTTGGGGGGTTTTTTATCAGAGTAATATTTGTATGTCAGAACAAATCACCCTGGATTCTAGTTTATTTTGTTGGACTCTCTAGGACTTGCCAAGTAGGAAGTGTAAAGGTTATGAAAAGTATTATTTAAAGAAAATCAAAACAGGATTTGCTTCAGAGCTAATGTTATAGCTATCATGATGCTTCTAACACCAAAAAAATAAACAGAAAATGTATATGAAGAAACAAAATGTAAGAAAGAAGTAGAATATAAATTTCTAGTGCTGATTTTACAAAAAAACATTATTCTGACAGCTTTTTAATTCTCATATTTGTTGCCATCTTAACTTAATGCATATAGTTTCCAAAGGCAAAATTTATTAAATTAGCTGATTAGGGGAACAAAGGATACAATAGGCTTCCTGAGTTCAGAAGATTTAAGTGACATAAACTTCATTTTCCCTTAATATTTTCATACTATCTAATACATGACATGAGAGCTTTTCCTTGTTTGTCATGGTTTAGCATTCTCAGATGCAGAACTCAAAAATAGTTACTTGCTAATCCCTCTGAAGTGTGGATTGTTATTGGTGACATTGATCATGGAGTTATTTTCTCTGGAAAACAGGATATCTTTGCAACTTACTTTAATTTTTATGCTGACACTGAATATGGGTTTCACAATACTGTTGCTGGTCATTATTGTAGTCATGGATTGTGCTGAGAACATGTAAGAAAAATGTTTGTTAAAATGCATTGAAATTGCATTGGTTTTTTTCTCAGGTAATTAATTCAAGTACAATAGGAATGCAAAACAGAAATGGACATTGAAATATATAATCACTCTAGAATTATGTGACCCCAAAACATATAAAATTTGGTCTCAAAACAAATTTTGGCCACAAATGTCTTTGTTTTTAAGAAGAGTGACAGATTGTGATGTAAAGTCATTGGAGAATCTCAGACTAATGATTCTGCCATCTAACATTGGTTCTTTGAATAAAGAATTTTTAAACATGTTAATGGAAAACTGAAAAAATATATTTAAGGTCAGAATGTTTATAAAACATTGTTCAACAAAGGGGTTGCTTTTCCTGATATCAAATCCTTTTCACATTTCCTGAATTAGAGTTTCTCTCCCTATTGAGCTATTGTACAATATAATCAACTGGAGGTATGAAAGCCTCCCAGCTTCCATCAATAGCTTTTTGTTCATAAAGCTGTTAAAATCTTACCTTGGAAAACTACGTGAAATTACATCTGTTTCTTTTTGTTTGTTAGCTAGGCAGCATTAGATAATGAATAGAGCTTTTAAATTTTTTTATTTATTCTTTTGTTACTATGTGTCATTGTTCAATATATGTGCACTCGATATATGATCAGTCATAGGAAGCTTTGGTTATAGATCAAAACATCATATTGTGGCAGTGGGGCATCACAGTAGAAAGTCTAAGGGCGGTGACAATGATCTGTGAAGCAACCTGTGTGTAAGGCATAACCACAGCACTGCTGCCCCCAGCTCTAATATGATTCTGGACCCTGTCCCTTGCAAAGTTCATACTATTTTTTTGGCCAAGTGGTTATCAAAATCTTCATACTTCAGACCTGCATCAGACTTGGAGGAAATACAAAGAAAAGGCATCATCTCATTTATCTTCCATAAACATTGGACACAAGAGCTGTACTCCAAGATAATTGTTAAAGAAACAAGCTCATAGAAAAGTGCTTTGGTTTATTTCTCCACCCAAAATCTGATATAGGTGTCAGAGACAAATGCTATTCAAAGAGTGAGTCTATGTAAGACATCGTCAACCCTTAAATGTGATCATAACAACACAGTTTGATCTGAAGGTTTCAAAACGGAGCAATTTTGGATTTCATCCTTTGGAACATGGATCCATAGAATGGTTTGAGTTGGAAAGGGACTTCAAGATCATCCAGTCCCACCTCCCATACCAGATACAGGTGAACCTTCCACTAAACCAGGTGGAACTCCAGTGTGTGACCTCACAGCTTGATGTCAGCATCAATCCCTGTGTCCAAATCACCAACAAAGATGTTAAATGGTGCCTGTCCCAGTACTGACCACTGAGGAACCCTGCTGGAATCCTGGAAGCCACTGGGAACACAGAAGCAGCTGCCTGACAGTGACTTGGCATTGCTGTGAAAGAAAGCATTGAAGCAAACTGAGTGCACTGGGATGCAACAAGAGATATCAGAGGTCCTGACAAGCTATCAGAACCCCTTGGTGCCCAGTGCTGGGCACTAAGAGGTATTTATATTTGTCCTAGACCCACAATAAGCCTCACAAGTAGACTCAGAGGAACCACATCTCAGTGGATGAGTCAAAAGCAACCAAAATTATATTCCCGATTCCATTTGCCAGATGTTTCAGAATTCATAGGGGCTATTATGCCCTCATGTAAATCTAGCATCTGTGCACTAATGGTTGTTAATAATCCTGAAAATGCCTTTCTAGGACATGTTTTAGCATTTGGAGCTCAATCAAGCTGCTGGATATGGACATTACATTCCACAGCATCTCTCTCTATGTCAGGACAGCCTAGGAGCTGAGACCACATTATTTTCTGGGAGGTTACATTGCTTTGTCTTGTCTGAAACTCATGCAGTCAACAGAAAATTGTATTTAAGATGCCCCTGCATTCGATTAAAATGCTGGTAAAAGACTGCATCTACATGAAAAGATTTTTATACAGTGAGTGATTTTGACTGACTGCTGTTCTAAGGCAAACAAAGATTTAGGCCTGCGGCTGAGTAAGATAAAAGCTCAAGCTGTAAAGGCAAAAACTCTCCTACAATTCTCAAGGTTATTCAATGAACTGGATAAACTGAAACACTCCCACATAATCAAGCTTGGGGAAAGATTCTCACACTCCTCATTTCAGCAAGCACCATTTCCTTTGGCGAAGGTTTCCAGGAAACAGCTCAAAGACATGGTGCAAAAGTGGTTCTTGAAGTCTGGTGATGACCCTTCTGACTTATGAATATCTTTGGTCAATGCAGGTTAAACTTTCCAGAAACATAAATCTGTGGGGAAATGTCATAGCTCAGCAGTGTGAATCAAGAAAGGGGAAACATGTTCTTTCATTTCATTTGCCAAGATTGTACTTGGCTGGCTTTAAGATGCTAAATCATCTGTAAACAATGCAAACTTGGGCTTTTTTAGATGTTGTTCTGTCAGGAATGGTAGTTTCTCTGCATTAGTTGATCTATTCTAGAGATAGAAATTCATAAATTAAAGAGAAGTTTCAGCTAACAGATATACTTGTCTACAATTCAGATGTCTATATCTATCATATAAGCAGTCAACTATTATTTTTGTATGACTGTAGTAGGGTGAAGCCTAGAGAAAAAAGCTAGAGATTGGTCCCACATCTACCACTCAGAATTTCTACTGTCCCCTAGAGATGTGCAAAGGGAAAGAGTTGTTAGAAATGCTGGAAGGCGTGGTCCGTTCCCTTGCTTCTGTCCATGGCCATATGTCAAGACCCACATGCGTAACAATCTTCTGCATATGATGAATTTTTCAAGAAGCTGAGGTTACTTTAAATGTAAGAAAATTAGAGAAATC